ACAACAAACAAAATGCTCTCAACAATGAAAGAGAAAAATCATAGATGAAAAGAAATCACACATGAAAAAAGATAAATCATAAGGGTTATGTTTGATGGAGGGGATGAGACAGGGAAAACGGAGGTAAGGCACCAAACGAGGACAATGAAGGAAAAACTAGGGAAAATAAGAAAACGGTGTCATTTTAATATTCAATTCCGCCCAAAAATTTACAATACTGACTACAAACCATTTAATGTGTATATATATATATAATTCTACCCTCTTGGCTCTTACCGTTTGAATAGCATAGAAAAAGCTCTTATTTTATTTTATTATTAAATTACACAAGTAACACAGCAGATAACCTCTTCCCACATTTCTATTTATCTTTCCCATTCTGAAAAATTTGATAGTGGAAGACACAAGAATGATTGAGAATTTCTGTATGTATCTCATTAATACTAAGAAAGCAGTTATATACAAGTTTGTATGACTTAATCTAAGGTGTACAGAAATGGAATGTAGAATGATTCTAGCCTATAATACATTAATGTGAAAGATATGACAGTTTTATTTTCAAATTGTTCCTTGATCTTCTCTACAGCGTTTCCGCCTTGATCAACTCTTCACCACTTATGCCTCAATCATCTCTATACTCCCCCTCAAGTTGGAGCATGAAGGTTACAAGTGCCCAACTTGGATAAGATGGCTGAAAGTTTCTCTCGGCCCAAGGCCTTAGTGAAAATATCTACTAGTTGCTAATGGGATGGCACATGTGTTGCAACTAATTCCTTGCTTTGTATTCTTTCTCATACGAAATGGCAGTCAATTTCTATATGTTTTATTCTTTCATGGAACACTGGATTGGAGGCAATGTGTAGTGCTGCTTGATTGTCACAGTGTAGTGTCATTGGTTGTGGATGAGGGACTTGAAGATCACGAAGTAAAGACTTCAACCAAATGAGCTCACTAACAGTTGTGGCCATAGCCCTATACTCTACTTCCGCCGAAGATCTCGAGACAGTCATTTGCTTCTTAGACTTCCAAGAAATTGGAGAATTGCCAAGACATATAAAATATCCAGTTGTAGAACGCCTTGTCATGGGACAACCTGCCCAATCTGCATCACAATAAGCTGTTAACTAAGGTCTATGTATAGAGGAAAGCATGATGCCTTGACCAGGGGAAGATTTAATGTATCGTAGCACTCTCATGGCAGCTTCAAAGTGATCTTTTCTGGGATTTTGCATAAACTGAGTAAGAATTCCAACAGAATAGCATATGTCCGGCCTGGTAATAGTTAAATAAAGTAGCCTTCCAACCAATCTACGATATTGAGATGGATCGGGGAGAGGCTCACCAGATTATGAATTAAGGTGATGATGTTGTTCCATGGGAAAAGCACTAGGCCGAGCACCAATCATACCTGCTGCCGTGAGTAGGTCTAGGGCATACTTTCTTTGGCTAAGGACAATCCCATTTGGAGTTTGAGTCACCTCAATGCCGAGAAAGAACTTCAATGGCCCAAGGTCTTTGATTGAAAACTTTGTGTGTAGATAAACCTTCAAGGTTAAGATGCCACCCGGATCATTCCCTGTTATGATGATGTCATCTACATAGATAAGGACTGCAATGAACTTTTGATTATTGGTAAAAGTGAACAAAGAGTAATCTACATACAATTGGACAAATCCTGCATCTTTTAAAGATTTTGTAAATTTTGCAAACCAGTTGCATGAAGCTTGCTTGAGTCCATAGAGCGACTTGCGGAGTCTACACACCTTACCTCTGTCCTTGCAGTTGAAACCTTGTGGAATTTTCATGTAAACTTCTTCATTTAAGTCTCCTTGTAGGAAAGCATTATTTACATCAAGTTGGTGGAGCTCCCATCGATTCATGGATGCAATTGCAAGTAGAACATGAACTGTAACTAGTTTCGCAACTGGTGCAAAGGTTTCATGGTAATCAAGCCCTTCAATCTGTGTGAACCCCTTTGCAACCAACCTTGCTTTGTATCTTTCTATGGTACCATCTGCTTTGTATTTTATTTTATAGACCCACTTGGAATCTATTGCTCGTTTGCCTGGTGGTAGAGTCTCAATTGTCCAAGTCCCATTCTGTTCAAGGGCAGTAATCTCTTTTTGCATTGCTTCTCTCCACTTCTCGTCCTTAACTGCTTGAGAAAAAGAGCTTGGCTCATCCACAGAGGTGATGGCCGCTAGATAGGCAAGATGAGTGGGAGTAAATGAATTATATGACAGATAATTAGAGAGAGGATACAAATACCTGAGTTGGCTGAGTGCAATGGAGCTTGCTTAGGATCCATGGACTGTGGCCAATCGCATACATAGTCATTGAAATGCTTTGGTGGATGTCGTTCTCGATGTGGGCTAGGAGGCTGTTCAATGTCATGATTTGTGCTTATATCTTGATTTGTGGGGTTCACAGGTTGGTCATGATTGTTTATGTTTGGTTCAGCAACATTTGGTAGTAGTGGTGGTATAGTGGTGGTGGCTAATTGGTTCATGGTGGATGTCGAATACAAGTCCTAGTCATCAAAGAAGTCTGCAACATTAGGGGTTGATGATGCTTCTGCCTTACCAACATCTTCTAACCTGTAAGGGAAGATTTCTTCATAGAAAATAACATCCCTCGAGATAAAAATTTCATGTGTCTCCAAATCATAAACTTTATATCCACGTTTTCCAAAAGGATATCCTATGAACACACATTTGGATGCCCTGCTACCAAATTTATTCCAAGCTTTAGAATTGTTATGGGCAAAACAAAGACAGCCAAAGGTTTTGATGTAATGATAGTTAGGTGTCTTTTTGAAGAGCTTTTCAAAGGGTGTGAGTCCAGAAAGAACAAGTGTTGGGGTTAGATTGATCAAATAAGCAGCAGTGAGGATACAATCACCCCAGAATTTTAGAGGTAGGTTGGCTTGGAAATGCAGGGCCCTAGCAACCTCAAGTAAGTGGTGGTGTTTGCGTTCAACTACACCATTTTGTTGTGGTGTATTGACACAGGAAGTTTGATGCAAGATGCCTTGTTGTTGAGAAAAATCCTTCATTGGACCATCAGTGAATTCTTTTCCATTGTCACTTCTGATCTTTTGAACCTGGCTACCAAACTGAGTTTTCACCATACGACAAAAATTTATAAGATAAAAGGATGCCTCAGACTTATTCTTTAATAAATAGATCCATGTGCAACGAGAAAAGTCATCCATTATAGTCAAGAAATAATAAGCACCACTATTGGAAGGCATGGCAAATCTTCCCCAAATGTCACAATGGATTAAAGCAAAAGGTTGAGTACTAATGTTATTACTTTTAGGAAATGGTAGCCTGGTTTGTTTGGCTTTATGACAAATATCACAAATTTTCATACTTTTTCCAGTATTGAAAGAAAGAAAGGGAATTTTAGACAAACGGTCTATTGAGACATGACCCAACCTCCTATGCCATAGCTCAAGTGATGCCTCATCCTCTTGCTTTCTTTGACTGGCTGCAGTTTTATGGCCAAAGTCACAGTAATAGATCCCATTATAAAGCTTGCCCATTCCAATCAGCTTCCTCGAGGTAAGGTCCTGAAAAACACAAAAGTTAGGAAAGAAGATCACAGCACAGTTTAATTGCTCGATTATCTTGCTGACTGATAAAAGGTTGCAGGTATATTGAGGGACATATAAGACATTTTCTAATGTGACATCATTAGGAAGCTCTACTTTTCCTATGTGTGATACATCAAGAGATGATCCATTTAGAATTTTTACAGGTGAGCAGTAAGGGCTTTTCTCAATGAAATTTGTAATATGGGGTGTCATATGGTTTGAAGCTCCACTATCTATGATCTAAGAGAAAGATTGTATTGGCTTTTTACCAGCAAGGTTGGCTATATAGGAGAGAGTTAAGTTACCATTGAGAAGTGAGAGAAGTTGCTCATATTGCTTCTTCGTCAATCCTACAATTGGTGATTGGTCTGATGAACCTTCATTTTGTGATTCTTGGGAAGCATTTCCTGCAAAGACTAGATTTCTGTCTCGAGCCTGATTCCTCTGTTGCTCATTCTTCCCTTTGGATTTTATGCTTCCAAGCTTCCAACTGGTTGGGTAGCCTATTATCTCAAAACATTTATCCTTTATATGACCAACCTTTTTGCAATGATCACACCGTGGCTTCCCTGATGCATTGGTGCGCATGTTGGAATGACTCTTAGCTGCTAAGGCTATAGCCTCAATCACTAGAGATCTTGTGGAGGCCACTGCCTGCTGTCTTTCCTCCTTGGTTGCCATGGCATAAACTTTGTTCAAGGATGGCAATGGCTCCATGTTTAGAATCTGTGATCTCATGGTGGAAAAATTGTCATTCAGTCCCCTTAAAAATTGGTGAACCTTCTCTACTTCTTTGGATTTAGTGAAATCTTTGGCTGCATCACAGGTACATCCGCACGAACATGTGGGGATTGGATCATAGGCTTGCAATTCGTCCCAAATCGGCTTCATTTTGGTATAGTATGCAGCCATTGACCTTGTTTGTTGAGTGAGATTTGCTAATTCCAACTTTAATTCATGTACTCGTGTTGCATTCCCTTGAGAGAACCGCTCCTTGAGATCGTCCTATATCTCCTTAGCACTATCAGCATACGCTGCACTATCATATAGTTCCTTGGTGAGGGTGTTCGGAATCCAAGAGACCACCATCGAGTTGCATTTGGTCCAAGCAAGCATCTCGAGTGATTTTGCATCTGGTTTTAGAGTTCCATCCACAAAGCCCATCTTGTTTTTGGCGTAAAGGGCATTTTGCATTGCCTTCCTCCAAGTGTGGTAGTTCTCTCCATTCAATGGAGTGGTGACAAGGATTCTTCCAGGATCATCGCTGGGATGAAGATAGTATGGAGAATCTAGATGAATTCTTGTCCTTGCTTCTGCTGTCATAGCTCCCCCTGTCGATTTGGCTTCGGTATTAGGAGTCTCAGCCATTTCGTTGATGATAGATGCAGCAAAGGCTTGCTATCATGCTGTTGATGAATGCACCAAAGACTTGCTGTCAAATAGTTTGGTTGCAGCAAACTCTTGCTGTCAAATTAGCCTTAGGTGTTTAGACACCTTGCTCTAATACCATGAAAATTTTGATAGTGGAAGACACAAGAATGATTGAGAATTTCTTTATGTATCTCATTAATACTAAGAAAGCAGTTATATACAAGTTTGTATGACTTAATCTAAGGTGTACAGAAATGGAATGTAGAATGATTCTAACCTATAATACATTAATGTGAAAGATATGACAGTTTTATTTTCAAATTGTTCCCTGATCTTCTCTGCAGCGTTTCCGCCTTGATCAACTCTTCACCACTTATGCCGCCTTGATCAACTCTTCACCACTTATGTCTCAATCATCTCTATACATTCAGAAGTAAATAAGAACAAGCCGACCACCATTATGGCCCGATGGCCACAGAGGTGACACCTAAAACTCTGTTCAAGTCGACTACAATGGTCACAATTTCGAAGAGTAATATCTAAAAATCTAAAATTTAAACCTTCATCATCTCTATTTCTAATCCCTCAACTGTACTAAAAATAAAAATAAAAATAAAAAAAGAAGAAAGTAAATAAGTCCAAAACCGATTCCAAAACTTTCGAGCAATAGATCAGCCCATATTCCTTCATCATCTGTTTTTTTTCCTTTTTTCATTTTTCAATTTTTTTTCCCTTTTTCATTTTTCTTTTTTTTTTTTCCTTTTTTTTACTTTTTCCCTTTTTTT